GGCAACTCTGAACATTACATTCAGTTCAACAGTACAGTCGCTAGAACTCAGATAGATTTAATTTTCACATACACGGAGATGGTATATGATGCCAACTGTCGCGGTTTTATTGTTGCAAGCAAATATCATTAATTCCGCATGTTCATTGAATCATCCGGTCGTATAAATTGCATCCTCGTTTTTGTAAAACGGAGAAAGAGACGCTCGAAAAACGTTTCATATACTACTGAAAGTCAAATGAATTAAACAAAACCAAATTTAAAAAACGCAGAAGTTGCATTTTATGCATTCGAAAAATGCAAAGTAAATTCGCCGAACTGAATTTTGCCGAACGCACAAAATTAATTCGCTGAATCCGATCATGCGATTTCTCAGGAAATCCCGAGTTGCATCAAGCGCTGCAACGACGACGCGCCGCGCCGGCGTAGCGACGGATCGCTGTTTGTCCCACGAGAAGTGCATTGATCATCCGAGAGTTAAGTTTGGATTTATGCGAGTTAATACACTTTGGCGCGGCTTCAAGCGACTTCCAGCGATGGCGAGGTGAATCACGGCAGTGCTCCCCGAAGTACGTTAATAAACGTCCTAGTCCTTAATCACATCAGCAAATGAAGGCCGCATTCTAACTCGCATTTATCTCGTTTGGAGATACTCCAATTTATAACTTTCAGAAATCTGTCATATTTTGCAACTAACAACTCTCTACAAAATTTCCATTCATAAATACTATTGCACGATAATTTAATAGCGTATTTGCATTTAAATTTATCAATAACGTTTAATAATATGTGACATGAAAGATATATAGGTATGTATAAGATATGATCTCAAGAATATAAATTGCAGGATACATACGAATATCCGAAAATAAAATGTAAAATGGAACAACTTATAAAACACCTCTGCAGTCTGGAAAATGAAAAAATACTTCTCGTCTTTGAAACACATTCTTTTACATATTAAATAAATTCGAGAGATAAACATAACTTCCAACTAAGGCACGAGCAATTTATTTGATCGAAGGCGCTGGCCTCGATAACGACGATGCGCAAGATTACGCGTAGCACGAAGGAAAGTGGTAGTGGTTGGTGATTATTCTTTTCATAGAATCGATGGTAGAAGCCACGGTGATTAATCGAAGCTTGAAAAAAGAGCAAGAGCAGAGATAGAAAGGAAAGAGAGAGAGCGCACACAGAAGGCGCAGGGAGGAAAGCGAAGGCAGGGGCGGGTAATAAACTACCCCGAAGGAACGACGCGCACCGCGTCCGACTAAAGACCCGGCGAAACAAGTCCGATGATCACTGAAAAACGAGAAAAAAAGGACAAAACTCCAGCGCTATGTTTCTGCGTTCAGGATCATAAAAAGAATTGCGATCGTATCGCTTTATCCAATCGCGGAATAAATCCTCTCCGACTGTCTCTACAATTCCCACAGGGAAACATTCATGTGCCATGTTATTAATTAAATATTCTATTCTATTAATTAATGCTTCTATCAATTAACGAGGAATAAACTCTTTGAAAGGCAACATGATAATCTGCGTAAATAAAAGACAGAATAAAATAAAATAATGTTTAAATAATAAATTTCTGAAAAAAATCTATGACACTTGCAAGCTCACGTATTCGATTTGCTTTATTAAATTTGTCATAAATTGCAAAAAGATACTCTTAAAAAAAAAGATTAAATTATCTTAAGCATCTTGATGGTATATAAAGTTTACGTAATACTAAAATTTCAGGACGCATATGTGTGTGTAATAGAATAATAAATTAACTTATGAAAAGAATAAAAAATCAAATCTTTCTTTATATAATAAAGAAATGTTAATCCATTTTAATATACCGTCAATTCTACCAGAAAATATATTAATTAAAGTGCTTATTTAAATAAATATATTTTCAAAACGTTCCTCTCGTTCCTTTAACAGAATCTAAATTTCCTATGACTCCTTAAAGAACGGTTTTTCTCGGTATCGATCCTAGGCTTGAGGAACTTTGAACCGAGGTAAAGAGTCCGTTAAGAGCGAATTGCCCGGAAGATGCGAGAGAGCTCGTACACATACGTGAGGAGAGGAGTGGAGAAAAGGGAGCGACGAGCCGTTTCTCGGGGAGAGAGAGCACTGGTGTACGCGAGCGCGAGCGCAAGCACAGCGATAAATTTCCAGAAAATTTATTGTCCGACCAAGTATAATTCAGCCGACCTATCGTGATGTGCGAACGCGAACCTCGCGGAGAGTGTTCCAACGCCGACCGTGAAAAATGGCCGAACGATTTCAGCGGCCGCGACGGACAGGGAGAAGCTACGCGATGCTGGCGGTGGTGGCGATGGCGATACGCGATAGAGGTGTGCGGTGTGTAGTCTACCTTCGCGGAAGTTTCGCGGAAGAAGCGGGGAGGGGGGGGCCGCCGCGTACGTGGCGCACGTACGTAAGAAAAGCCGGGTTGTTCCTCCCGTAACTTAAGAGCTACGACCTCGTTTCTGTCACACGCGACTTCGTATTTCACGCCCTCAGGCGGAAAAGGAGAAGGAAGGAATGAGCCTGGCGGGAGAGGGCAGGAGGACGAGGAGGAGGAGAGCCGGGAGGAGGATGGCAGCGAGAAGGAAGAGACGGTGGATAAGATACGAGTGGTTTCGCGATAGAGAGCGCGAACGAGAAGAGGAATAAAGAAGTTTATGGCGCTCAACTGATATGAGTACGGGAGAAAGAGAGAGAGAGACGGCTCACGACGCGACGTTACTCGCAAGAGCCTCGTCGTTATCACCGTGTCGTCGTCATCATCATCGGTCTCGGACTATCCTTGTGGGATAGGTCGGGACCAATATCCGCAATACTCTGACGCGACGACGACGATGATGTTCTCGCCCGCGCTCGTCGCCAGGGTACCGTTATCCCGAGCAACGCGATACTTTCGTGCGAGTATGCGCTATAAATTGACAGGGACATATCCGTGTCACGAATTGATAGAATCGCCGTTTCCCGATATGGAAAATGAGATATCGGTTGGATGCATTGCCGAATGAAACCATGAAATATCGGTGCCACTGAAGGCTACTGATATGCAATATTTTCAGGTATCTTCGCCATAAAACGTCAATTTTATTTATACACTGATTTATATTCAATCAATCAAATAAAGTAAAAGTTTTATTTTAAGACAAGTTTGCATTGACTTTTTTTGTATTCAAGCAGTCTTATAATTTTCACGTTGTTGTCGAGAAACGAGATTAATTATAAAAGCAAGAAGAATATCCGAAAATCTCTGCAGTGCTTTTCAGTAATTCCGGGCAGAGAATGTTCCGCGCTCGTCTCGGCTCGTTGCATCCGTGCCTGGCAACAGGGGCGCGTATGCATGTGCGATCCGTATAACCAACGATAACGAACTTTTAAGCATAATAAGGCGCCGCTACGTGGAGGAGCGAGACGCAAGGCTATTTGTACAACTCAAAACGTGCCGCGTAAGCGGATTGCGCTCCGTATTGCGCTCGTTGGCAAAAATCGACGAAAAGTGACTCGATCGAGCGGCGCGAAACGGAGCAACGTGCGCACAATACGATACGGTATATATATTGCGAAAAAGAAAGGAGATCAAGTACATCGCTAAAAATTATTCGGTCTTTTCACTTGAAGTCACTCGGCGATCATTTCGCTCGCTGTAATATGCTTAATAGGCCTAAATCTGCGAATAACAAATAAATCTGTAGTTTATAATTTACATCACACTTGCTGCCGAATGGTACAATATAAAATAATTCATAATTATCGATATGCAATGTTCAAGATTGTAGATTTCTTCGTTACTCCTTACACGCTAATTATCTTTTCCCATAATCAACATCTACTCAAATCCTCCATAATTTAAAAGATATTAATAAATTTTGTTTGGAAGAAATTAGGCGATTTCATAAAACAGATATTTAATTTCTCGGCTACGCGGATCTTTCGATCCCCTTGACCCTTGACCCTCGTGTCTTTCCCCGCTAGTCCCCGGATCTAGTAGTCGCACAAAAAAAAACATCATAGCTACGTCGACCTAGTACCTAGCGTCTAGCGACCTCATCGCGAATCGATGAACGGAGCGGAGACCAGTTTGATTCCGCCTTCCTGAGTAACGTGACGATCTACGTCGCGCTACTTTCCCGGCGAAAATCCGCGACCCGACGCGACGCGACGGTGCGGCCTGCGGCCGTGCAACGGTGCATCCATCGTTCGGCGGAAAAAGTCGTCCCCCGCGCGTTCAAGACGAATTGCCACGATAATTGCGGTCGACGTGCCCGATGTCTTTCTACTCCCGCAAGACCGAAGTCGATTCGAGATTCGAGATGAGCGAGACGGTGGCGCGAGGGAGAGGGCGAGTTGGGAGGCAGGGGAGAGAAAAGAGAGAATCGCGAATGCACCGCGCATGCACTTACAGTCGTTGTACCCCCCACAAGTTGCATGCCACGGCTCGGCCGCGATGCGGAGATACTCGAGCCGAGCCGAAGAGCTTCAGAAGCACGCAGGAGCTCGCATTGAGTGCACACGCGTCGGCGTTCTCCGCGAGACACGCGAGACGCGGCGCGATCGCGAACGGCCTTCGCAGTGATAACAGGGATTGCGCTTGCGACATGGTGCCCCGAATACGGTGATCACCGCTGATCACGTCGAGTGTCTGGTCGCGCGCGCCCAATGAATGCAAGAAGAGATCTGCGAGAGATTGCCCGTAATATGTCGTATCTCGTTCCGCGTTGGAACGTGGAATTTTAGCGTTAATCAGCGTACGAACTACACGGCAGCGCTATCTCCCCATTATAAACTGTGCGTTACTGGACGATGACGCGCGTGTCGAGGTTCCTCGAAGGAAGATCGCCGAAGGTTAATTATACCTAGGATGTTCTTGCGCTCGCTTACCAAACGCAATTAAAAGTCGCGCTAGAAGTTGCGACCCCAGCAAGGATCGCAGGAATCATGGATCGCTTTGAAGAACCGCTCTCGGCCGATTGTAAATTAAAGACTCACGTAAATTGCATATCCCTCGGCATTACCGCAATCGAGCAGCTCCTGAGTGCTAGTAGTATAACGGGAAGTCCGCAACAGTCCGCGGGAACGACTAAGCATTATCGTGGAATCTTCGCAGCAATTTCGACGACCGAGTTCTGTCCTTTCTTCCACCTATTCACCAATAAATTTGCAACAGCTCAAATATAGTTTTTGTTATTCGTGCGTTGTTCAACATTTTAATTTCCTGCCCTCTATTTCCATGAGATACATTTAAAACTGTAAGATGCATCTCATTTTTTTTTAAATTTATTATACACTGTAATTTATATTCAAAATGTGTATTACAAAAAATTTTAAATGCAATTTTAATTACAATTTGCTTAGTTTCGTCAAGTTTACGGTCAATTAGATACACGCGCCGTGTCGGAAGCCTCGGGAAGTTCGCCGTGGTGCGCGGCGAACCGGAAACGTAAAGTCTGCGAGTTGAAGAAAAAGAATTCGCACAAGCCGTGTCGGACAAGAAACTGTGAGAAGTCCGCGAGACAAGATAAGTTACGTATAAATATATGGACCTAATTATCGCGTCTTCGACGTAGAATGCGATAATACTTATCGACACGATAACATCTGACGCACAACGATAGTACTGCATTGATGGAATTGCACTCGATTAAGTCGAGAAAGTGATGAAAGATGACTACAAATTCACGCTTATATTTCATGTAATAGAATAACTTTTCAATAAACTCGGCAAACCTATACATTTTTCTTTTCATATTTGTGGACGTTATAATTTTATAAAGCCTTAATACAATAAAATATTCAACAAACTGTATGTATATAATATACAAATGACATTTAATTATTGTTCGCTTCGCAGAAAGAAATAAAATACTCTTTATATCGGCTAACTTAAATTGTTCGTTGCCTATTACACGCGGGGTACGAAAGTTTGCAGAAAAAAAGAAGCCATTTCTGACTCAAGATTCGTTCCGCCCGTGCCTTCTTGAACGATAAAATAGTCTCGTCTATCGTAAACGATCGCCGATCACACGTTCGGGAGAAAGTGGCGAAGAAACCGTGGAACGAATCGAGCGCATTTTCTACCGATAGCTCGGTTCCCAAGGTACACACCGCGAGCTTTTAGACGCAGGGAGAATCGAGACGAGGATGAGGTTTCTTTCTTCGATACGCGCGGCACGCTCGTCAGCTTTAAAAACACTATTTCGGCTGCGCTCTTAAGAACTCCCATCGCGACCGGTTCGTAAAAATCCAACCGACGTATTCACCTCGTACTCGCGCGTTGTTCGTCGAGTGCATACGTATGCGCACGTGCCGAATTAAATCAGCGCCGATCCGCAACCGCGATCAGCCCGGCCCGGCTCGGCATGTCCGCAACTTTACGATCGACCGAAAAAAGAAACGGCCCGGCCGGCAGAACGTAACATTGAAAGCCGACCCGAGAATATGAGCGAACGTAAAGATTTAACGGGAGTCGTGTGATATACGACTCGGAGGGATACTGGACCGTGACGTCCAGTCAAGACAATCTATACAATTCGCGAAAATTCGAGGCAGGTCGAGTCAGGATGCGATAAAACGGGAAAAAAGTAATTTCAAGAACGAAGAAATATAAGAAAATGTATATACGCTTCGCGATACTCGCTATTGAATGTTACCGCTATTGAAATGTTATTGCGTTTCGATACCCCGAGGGTTGAATCAAGGAGGCTGTCGATTGGAAGCAATTTCCGCCGGGACGCGGAAGGTCGACCGGAAAAATTCACACATCGAAACGATAAAGGCAGGCAGAATGATGTTCTTTTCTTTATGAATTGTATAGACGTAACTGTGATGACGATTTACAAAGGCGATTCAATCTGCACTTCCTGACGAGAGAGGTCGAGATTGGACAAGTGAACGGTAATATATATACGGTATAATATAAGTGAACGTACACATATGATACACTTGACTCAAACTCCGCGCTAGGATTTAGTGTGCGGCCTTTTCATTTTCCCAGAACAATGTAGCGTTGCAACGCAAACCGTCATATGAATAGCTAAAAGTGCCATACCCGCAGCTTCTGGCGTTTAATTGAAACAAGGAAAGCGTCGAGATTCGGCCAGCTTGGCTTAGAGTCGTTTAAATGCTGGATATTATTTACCACCATCTGCGAAATTCCGCTCGAACGTGCTCCATTACGAAAATCTCTTCTGCGAACGCGTATTTCGGCGAGAGGGATTAGGTATACGCGTTAGAGGGATCGCTATCGGTCGCCATTTTACACGAACGCAGTTTATAGCGGATCCGTTGCACTTCTCTGTCGCTGGCACGCTGACCGTGCTAGAAATAGAGCCTTGGCCCCCATGCGTCAGGCATGCCAAATCGCGAAGGGAGAAGAACGAATGGCCATCGGTCGACAGTGTCATACAACAGGATCTCTCTCGTATCGATTTTTTCCTCCTCGGTCCGGGCAAGAGAAGTCTCGGCTCCTCTCTCTTTTATCGCGGCGCAAACTTTGTCAAAAAGTCCTCCTTTTAAAAGAGAAAGAGGAGGAGGATGGAGAAGAAGAGGCGGAAAGAGAACGTACAGGTACGAGAACGTTCGATCGAGGGTTATAAAGTTTCTCCCTCTCTTTTTCGGCCAGCTATAGCCAGCCAACCACCCTCGATCCGATATATCCTACGGCCTAGGAGCTTTCATTTATTTACCGGCCAGACGCATTTCCGTCGTTGAGTGATTAATGGCGCGCGGGTTCGTTTAATAAAGTTTCTCCGAGTAAGTCGGTTTACCCTGAAAAGCCTCGGCCGTGCCGTTCTATTTATAGTCACTGCTCTCGCGCTTTTACGAGCGCGCCGCGCGAGTCGCCGCGCCCGCGCCGCCGCCGCGTACCGATACCGCGGATATCGATGGTATACGAGCGCGCGATTCGCTATAAACGTGCTCTGATTAATATCTGAGAATTTAATCGGGTCGCTCCCGAGTAAAACGCATTTAATGATGTCTCGGGCTTGATATCTAAACTCGGGAGGCGAGAGCCCGCGGGCAATTTCGTCCCGCGAACTTTGTTGCCTGAAGCAACCGTTACTGCGTGTTAAACGCTGCTGCGACGGTGACGTGATTCAAGTTCAAGCAGAGAGCTGAGATGAAAGTACGGCGGCGATTTAATTATCAAACGAGATTCGCTTTGCCGAGGAAAAACCTCGAAAAAATATGACGCGGGAACGTATTAATCGGGCGCGTCTCATCGAGAAACCGCCATGTCATTCCGAGTGCAATATCGAAAAATCGAGACCGCTGAAATAATTCGCTCGGTCGAGAGGGTCTGCCCCGGCCCATCCTCTCTCCCGATGACATCCTTCAACCGCGATCGAATGCGCGCATCTGGAAAATCGCCAGGATCCGATACGGAGAGTATCGCGGATCTCGCGCGCAGTCGGAAAACTCGACGTCGACTTTTTCAGGGGGGGGCGGGGGAGAAACGGAATACGGAAAGGAAAAGGTAAAAAAAACACACTACAGAAAGAAATGCAGAAACGAGGTGGTGTACGGTATGCATTCCTCCCGTCGCCGGAAGCTAAAATCGAATTCAAGGCCTCGAGAGAGGCGATCGATCATCATCCGCCTCTGCGCCCGCGCTCTCTCGCATTTCAATTCGTCCTTTTCGTCCCGGAATGATGCGCACTCGCCCATAGGCAGCCTCTGGCCTTTGCTTCTCTCTTTCTCTCTCGTCCCGCCTCGCATCGGGTTTTTTATCCTCCTTTTTCCTCGGAACGAAACCGTATAACGATCGCGAGCGCAAATCACATCGGTGCCTGCTCGCGTGCTAAGAAAATGCCCCCCGGTAGAACAGAAGGAACAAGAAGCGGATAGCGCTCGAGAGCAAGAGAGAGAGAGAGAGAGAGAGAGAGAGAGAAAGGAAGGAAAAAAGAGACGCGGAGAGGAAGAGAGCTCTCGTGATTACCAATCTTCTGAGAAACCGTAGAAATTCGACGAAAAAGTTTTGCAATTAAGGCACAACGTCTGAAAGGAGGTGTAGAAGGAAGAGAGAGAGAGTGGAAGGGGCGAAAGAAGAAAAGGAAAGGAGGTAGAAAGAGAGAGAGAGAGAGAGCGCCGAATGCATCGAATCCGGAGACAGGACCTGGGCACGATCCGAGTATGTATAATACCGCTAAGGCGGTAAACCGGTTCTTGACCTACCTGACATTTTCTTTTGTCTAGTTGACTTACGAGCCGTTTCAATACGGCCAATTAAATTCGGTGGCTCGCAAGCGACTTATAGCCGTTCCTCCCATCGTGTACCGTCCAATCGTGAAGCGAGACAATAAACCGTAATTTATAAATAACCAAGAAACAATTAGCTTCGATCAGAGAAATGTATCAGTATTAAAATTAATTAATAAATTACGCTCTATTTATTTAATTTAAATAAATATTTCAAAAAATGGATTCGAGTTTACAACTGCGTGAAAAATAAAAAACGTCTATTTTATCCTTCCCACGTTTAATAATGAGTTAATCCGTTTTATCTTCCTCGATTAATTCCCCGAAAATTACTTGGTTACGGTTTTCAGTATTTCAAAAAGTATCGCCGTCTCGACAGCTGCCGTTAACAAAAAATCCATCTTAAATTGTCGAGAGAGAATCCGTCATTAAAATTTAATGCGATGGGAGCGGCCCGCCCGCCGCATAATGTTACACGTTACACGCAATTTCCAGTAAAATGACGGCATGACAATATGCAGAATACGTGAGTGACACCGAGAGGCCCTGAAATTGCGATGGCGCGTCTCGAGGAGGCGAGAGATGGAATTTATTTCATCGATTTTACACAAGTCGCGCGATTCAGTCGACTTCGAAATCCCCCCCCCCGCTCTCCGGCCCCACGCCCGCGCCCGCACCGCGGGGATGCACAATGCACAATGCGAACACCGTGTATGTCCTTTTGGTTGGAAGGAGAGAAGGGCAAGCGCACGGGAAAGGACTGCAATCGCGACGGCGGATAACGGCGGGAGCGGCCAAAAGAATAATCGATGCTTCCGTGCTTATGGCATCGTCCGCCGTATATTACGAACGATTCTCGCGTTGTGATGCAAATGCCGCTTCGGAGTCGACGCCGCGTGAGAAAGCTTTAAGAATCTATGAGCCGTGAATAGAGCGCCCGATAC